ATTGTGCCTTTATGAAAGCTGGGCATCGGTAAGATTTAAAAAATAAAGAAAATCTGAATTGAAAATGGATTAACAGCATGGATGACTTGAAGAGAATTCCTTTTCCAAGCTGCCTTTTAAGTTAATGGCTGCCTGGGCATGAGACTGTAAAAAAGCTTGTCATGTTCAATAAGGAAAGCTGTTGAAATAAACATTATTCTCTTCCTTTGAACACTGAAATAGAAAAAGTAAAATGGAGTCAGTCCCAGAGCCACAAGTCTTTCCTGGCTGATGACAGGTTGCATTTTTACGGCTAGTTTTGTGTAGCACTCGTGATTTTTCTTCATGACTTTTGCACAGTAATGTCTGTAAGAAGTGGGCAGATGTTAAGAGGAAGAGTTAAGGCTTGCTCTCAATCCATGACAGGTCCCAGGCTGCTTGAGTTGTTTTTTTTTTTCCTTCACTCTTATAATGAAAAAGAAATGTTTGCAATTTTAAAACCTTAAATGTATTTTCTGCTTATTATCTGTAGGTTGTTATTCTCCAACATAAGAATAAAATGTGTTGGCTACTGCACTGCTGATGTTTAAAACCATAAGCAAAGGAGGGCTGTCAAAGCTCTATGTGTTGATAGTGCATGAATATTCCTTGAGGCATATGTTGAGATTGTCAGACTTACTATTGCATGCTCCATGTATTGAGGCAAACCTGTATATTGTTATCATTATGTAGAACACCCCTTGTTTGTTGGCAGCCAATTCAGAATTGTTTAGCTTTTGTCTTTTGAAGTTTCAGGTCTCAGCTCTGCAAACATATAAACCCTCAAGAATGAAATCAGAATCACAAGAATTAATAGCCTGGTTCACAAAAGCTTTAATGTCCTGAAATCCTGCTTTCACTCCTTTTCAGTAAATAGCTAAGGGCACTGCATGACAGTGGGGGCTTAATTGCTCTGGACCACAGTCTGTCCACGGAGGCAGACATGTGTTATTCATTATGAGCTGAGTGGCATTCATGCCTAGGAGAACAGAAAGGAGAAAAAAAGGCGAAAGACTGTTTTTCACAATAAATGATTCCCCCACGTCCATATGATTTATCATTCCTTAGTTCCATCTAGTGGTCAAAAAGGATCTGAAGTGCTTGTAATAGGTACAGTCACGGCAGCCAAACAAGTTCATTTTGGCTGCATCACAAGAGTTTCTTGTAATAAATCATCCAAATATTTTACTCATCTAACTGCCATGTGAAGTGTAATCTATAAATAATACTTAAATAACAATGAGGTGCTAGGAGATGTTTAATGAAACCTTCTTACACCTGTCCTTTTAGTGTCACAGTCTCTTCCCTGTACAGTATTCCTGTCAGTAGTGCTATAAAACATTTTCATACGGGGGTCATTTAGAAACCTGAATCCCTTGCACAGGTATGTGTTTGTTCTCATGGATAAAGGCTTCCCACTCTCTGCTCAATGATCATGCCAATAAAAAGAATTACTCCTCCCTTTTGAACCTGTGACTGCATCCAAGATGTGGCACTTGAGTAACTAAAGCTCTTTATTCAGCATGTGATGAAAGATAAAAGAGAAACAAATGGTAGCAGCTTCATTCCTATGGAAGTGAGACGCCCTATTTGCAATTCTTGTTATAATATATTCAGATGAGGAAATATACCATCCCTGCACGTTGTAAATATGGCATCCAATCAAGAATGCATTCCACAGCACACTGTGATTTAGAAACATGCACCAAAGCCCATAACAGAATAAGAGAGATACAAAACCAGAACGTGCTGTCAAGCACGAAAGCAGTCAAAATAAGGATCGGTTTTACCTGCAGTGTGAAGTTGAGAGACTGGAAAAGGCACTCATAGTTTTCCAGCCGAACAAAGTTGGATAATTCCACAGAATCACCGTAGAAAAATGAAGTAGGGAAGACTTCTCTGAAAGATCAAGACACAGATTTAGTAAGCTGTGTTTGCCACCAAAACGAAATATATTTGTGGCAAGCTGAACTGCACCCTCTTGCTTTCTAGTAATTTGAAATTCTATGGGACCATTTTACATTAATCTATTATTTGTGATTTGATTTCCTCTTGACAACAGCAGACTACAGTAGCAGCATCTCAACTGACCTGGGTCAACATCACTGAAGCAGACTTCATTTGATTACTTCTCTTTTTTCTCCTTTCCTATCACAAAACCTCTTCTCCAGGGCTCCCTGCCACAGATGATTTGTGCAAGTCCTATAGTTTGTGTAACACGGGAAATCATTGCACTACCAAGTTAATCTGAAGAAACAGTTACTAACAGGAATACTTTCAGTTACATCTTCACCAAAGTAACATTTCAGCTTTATCTACCATTTACATAGCATTGCAGGAATAAACACTTCATTACTTATCTGAGCTTCACTACCTTTATGATTAGCAGATGGTTAAAGGGAAGAATAGAGGAGGATATCATTTGCTTTCAATTACAGTGGCACAGGCCAAGTCTCCTCAACTATTCTTAGCATCTTATTACAAAGTAAAACGCAGAAGGGTTTTATCAGAAAAGGCTTGGAAGCACAACACAGTACCTGGAAATCCTGTAGAAGAGGACTAGGAGTGCTTTAAGCATCCTTTGTGCCCCCTTCTAATCTCAGACTGCTCCACTGGCTATAAAGGGTCCTGGTGGAATTTCAGACAAACCTTGGTGAGGGATTGCCTAAAACTCTGCTTCCTTCTCAGGCTGTCCTTTTGGGTCAGAGTTTTTTGAGACAGGATTTTAAGCCTGTTTAGGTGCATTTCTTTCTTCCTGCCTGCCTCCTATGCCAGAGATTGCTAGGGAAAACAGTAAGAGACGGACGTATTCCTCCCATTTACGGCGTTGTGCCAAAAGGCTACTCCCAAACATGGTATAAGCCCTTCCAGGCTATTTATGACCAGGGATAAAGTTTGCTCTCGTAGACTCAAATGCAGGCTAGCTAGTAAAAATAAGCTTTTAAAATGCACTGTCCAAAAAAGAGTAGTACTAATATTACCATGCCTGGGAATATTGTGCCCTCCAATAAACTCAACCTTTCTGCAGTAGTTGGACACTCTTGTAAACTTGAATTAATTAAACCTTGTCTATGAAAATTAAAAAATAATCCACATAGTTGGGTGGGGTTTATAAATTCAGAGACCTTGTTCTTTAAAAAGTAACATTCTGAAAAAAGCCAAATTTTTATCAGGATTTTTTGGCATGCATTATTCTGTAGGTGACAGAGATCTAAAGACACAGATGAAAGCATTCTTATCTGTAGAGCCATACAACAATCCATCTGTGCCAAAGCATTAAGAAGCAACGGATACAGAGTTAAATTTCTACACAATCTGTAACAATGAAAGCATTCAAAAACTCCCAGAACATGCTGATGAGACTGTACACTCAATATAGAGGGATTTTTGTCCTTGCTAGTCATCTTGTGAGGTCTGACAGTGCTCTTCACTTCCCTGAGCAGGCTCAAGCACATCTTCTCTGCATTCTGATTACTGTGACAGTAATTAAGGGATTTTATCTCTATGCAACCAGAGGGGAAATCAGCTTTATGTGGCAAAATCCAGACTAGGCAACGACTCTGAGTTTACCCAGATTTTTAGCCAAATCACATGTCAGTGCAGGTAACTTTGCTTCTACACATGTAGCATGCTAGTCACGGGAATCTTTGACTTCTATTGATGCAACCTGCACTGGTCGTTTAGACAATACACATTCCCTGGGGTTGCCATAAACAGTGGCTAAGAGACATTGACCTCTTGGGGACACTGCTGAGGAGTTTTTACTTCCCCAGTTTAGGAATGAGTATCAGCTTCCTCAGTCTACATGGATGCTAATTCACCTCCAGAGAGCAGGTCCCCCAGTTCCAGCTCAAGAACTGTCTACACTAGAGGATAGTCTGTATGTTGAGACTGACCACAAATCTTCCATTTTAGACTTAAGATTGTAATGCAGAAGTGGAAAGGAAGACCCCTGAGTACAAAGGCAGGAGCTCACACATGTGCAGCCCTGGGGAGAGGACAATGGCTATGTGCTAGACAAGTATTTCAGTCAAAGGGCGAGTGATGTTCCTCAGTTGGTATTCAGATGCCTCGCAGACTAGGAAGCAGAAGCGAATACTGATTGTGACATTAAACAGAAAAGCAAACAGCTAGACTCCACCAAGCTCTTTAAAATCCCAAAACATTTGGCCCCCACTTTTGGCCTGGTTATTCTCAACCATATCCTTAAAGACGGGCCCTAAGGAACAAGATGTGATTTACTTATTCTCTTTTTACTTTATTTTAAGGTCCATCATATCTACAGAATCACACAAATTCAAATATGATCACTACAATACCTACTATAAATGTGATGGTAACTAATTAGCATTAGCTGAAAAGGAGTGAGAAAGAGGTACAGCGCTGGAATGAAAGGCATGACAAATAAAATTTCCAGATAATGAATGAGGCTGTCTGTATTTCCAGGGTCTGGGAAACAAGAAAAAAACAACAGTCTGTCTACATGTAAACAAAGAGAAGAATTCAGTTTTTCACTGGAAGAGACTCAGATGTTATTGTTAGGATTATTATTATTTTTGTTGTTTTCATTCGCTGACTGGTACTTACCCAGTGATAGATGAGTCCACTTCATGCATCAGTGGCACTGACAGGGTTAGAGTATTATCATGCAAAGATTCACTGCGTTCTAGGTTTCCACTGTGACAGAAAGGAAAAATAAACATGCTGTAAATTGACAGCCTTTGCAATATCTCACACAGTTTCACAGCTACCATCTCTCTGCTTTGTACTTCGAGCCTCTCTATTTGAGCGATGTCAGCTCTCCTTAAGAAGCCTCTTAAAGATTAAGAGTTACATTTGTTCACTCACCTTGGAGAGGGCACACACATAAAGCATGTGTTTTGCAGCTTCTCCTCTGTGTCTGTGATGTGATCAGGCTCAGAGCAAGAAAACCTATCTCGGAGCAAGGTGTGAACTCAAACGGCAGTGCAAAACTACAGCAGCCATCATACACCATGGAGAGAAACAAGGGCATTTAGACTCCAAAGAAAAAGTTCGTTTTCTCCCAGCCTGACTGTACATCAGTTTAAAAGGGATACGCACATCCCACAGAGTGACTTGACTCAGTAAATGAAACTGCACTTTCACTGTACCTGCACTGTACCATAGAACCAACGTGGTGCCATTACAAGCAGCTTTTTGGGCGAGACCCTCGTCCTGAACTGGCTGTAACCTCTCAGCAGTTCCACCTCCTCTTCCTGTACTTAGATGCCAAAATTAAAGCACTACTGGTTTATATTTTCAAAGGCAGTTGCCGCAACGGGTCAAAAGCGGGAAGAGGAAAGAGAAAAGTGAGCAATCATCTCTCCTTTGAGTCAGTTTATTTCAGTGTGAACACTTATGTATGCAGTCTGGGATAGGTTCCTGAAATGCATGTCCAATTACTCTGATCCTGATGGTGAGTCTGCTTGGCAGTTGACAGCTCAGAAGAACAATCTTGAAAGACATGTTACATATGTTTCCAACACAGCAGTGACTCTGAAATCACTTTGCCTTGCAGTTCATTGGATTTACTCAAAAATCAAACTGGCAAAATGAAAGATATGATCCTTTTTATTTGAGGACAGTGTCACTGAGGCAACAGCAGGCAGTAACATCCCAAGTGATACCATGTAGATGATGAGTTGCTCAGATTACAAAAACAGAACATGCTGGCTACATACATGCACAGATACAGCTCAGCTTTCTGCAACTGACACACTGGCCATGTCTGCTAATAAAACTATGGCACAGATGGAAAAACCCACAAACTTTCAGTCCCAGGAAAAAAACACTTAATAAAAGCTTTTCCTCTGAACAGGCTCAAAGAAGAGTACAAAATGGAGACATTTCGCATCCAACACAAATACCGAGCTACCATGGTGGCAAGCAGAATAAGCTAGTAGAATTCCATACAGGGTCAATGGGTATGTGCATATCTGTTTCAAATGGAGCAAAGGTACTGTCACAAAAGGAGAATATAGCTCAGTGAATCTAGCTCTAGAAAAACAGTTCACACCAGGAAGCACAAAAGGTTTGGAGTTTTTTTAAACAAAAATAATAACTGTAATGTAATGTTTAGTTCTTTCTCCAACTGATCTCTCCCACTACTGAACCGGTCTCTTGTTACAGATGCTACTGCCAAATTTGCAGCTTCAAGGGACAGGCTTAAGTGGCCACTTGAAGGGCAATAGTGACTTTCCCATGACAGTGTGGCATAGCTTCTCTGCATCCAGCCATTTCTGCGAGGCTAGCTCCGATTTTGTGTGGAAACAATGGCCCCACTCATTGAAGTCTGGCCACAACACAGACACTTCCTCTCCATTTCCTTATCACTGACTTTACCCCAGGGCTCCCTGAAACTCTTGTGGTAGAAAGATTTTATTACACTTATTTGACAGTGAGGGAATTGAGCAATTGTCCAAAGACAGAGAAAATGAGTGTAAAGAGTAGTGGGGCTTGCACTGTTGTCTTTGGAGGTTCAGCTGAATCCTTCAGAAAACAACTATCCTCCCACCCATCCTTCTGAAATGAGAAACTTTCTCTTAACCCCTCCTAGAATCTGTGCTATGTGTACCAACTATTTATTTTGTTGGTCCATCTAAAGGCACTGACTAACCCTTCTCACTGGTAGCGCACAGAAATCTGAGGAGTGAGGTTACAGAGGGAAGTCCTGTGCTATCCGAGGCAGGGAGATGGGCAGTACCATCTGGAAAACACTGGCTGGGCAAATTTAAAGCAGGGCTGACCCATCTTTGCACCCACTGGCATTCACCTAGCAGATACAGCTGCATCTGCCTGACCTAGAAGCATCACGGGGTCATATGAACACACAATGAACTTCTCCTCACAGAGAATAAAACTTCTCTAACATGTAAAACATGGCCTTGTCTCTCTGATGCGAGGTCTCACTTTCAGTGTTTTATACCAGCCCTGTATGCTGCAGGATCTTGTTCCCACCTACAGCTGTTACTGCAGGGGAGGACTGTGCCTTATGAGAGCAGTCACTCAGCAACTGCTACATGTCATCTCTCATCTCCAGCCCATCAGTGAGGTGTCATCAAATCGGTGAGAAGAATTAAGGCTGGAGATCCCGATTTTGACATGGGAGGGTATGAAGTTGGCCCATTTACACAGTAAGTGGTAGCAGGAACCAGTTGCACACCCAGCACATCAGAGCAGCAGTTCATGGCCTAGGTTAACGCAGCTGGGCTACCGTCAGTTTCCATACACATGCCAACAGTGCCTGTGACTGAATCAGCCATGGAGTCTCCTTCTTTGTGGCATATCATCTTAGAAGGCACAGAGTATGTGTCACACCTTTATTCTGCTTGAGATAAAATCCCTATGCACACATACTTGGCATCACCCTATTTCAATGCCTGCTCTAACCACCCTTGGGGAAGTACCCTATTCAGCTGTTTCATGCAGTCTGTCATAGCTCACTGAAGATCCAGAGGGAAAAAGACATGCAACTTTGGAAACTGTCAGTGAGATCCCTGACCATCTGATGAAAGCATTTATCTTTTTTGGTTTGCATCCAAGCATGCTTATTTCATTCAAATGCTGGAACAAATGGGTCTGCCTGGTGCTGATCATCAACCACAGCTGAGCTGAGCTTGATACAGGGCCCAAAGGGATGGGCACAGAAACACAAGGGCCTTCCAGCTGAGAGAACATGAAATGCTCCTTCAGAATTGAAACTGCCTGGCAAAGAAAGCCTAAGTACGGTCCTACCTCATTTTTCAGGAAGCTGCACCACATGGTTCCTCTATATTATCAAAATACATGCACTTAGCCCCAGTAATTTAACCTCATTTATTACACATACACGTGTCTACAACTAGTATCACACAGCTGTCAAGCATATGCAATGCACGCTTCATGCAACAAAGAATATCCAAGTCATCAAGATGTACAAAGGTTCCCTTACCTTTGGGCAGTGACAAGGAATGTAAGCGTTTCTTCCTGTCCAGACAAGTGACTTGTGTCAAAGATCACACTGAACTCATACTGCACAAAGAAAAAGTGGTATTTAGAGACACTGTATATTTCAAAATACATTTATTCTGAAACTGCACATATATGCTACTAGCCCAGCTGTACAAAAGTAGTGTATTTTGATACATGTAAGAAAGATTCCTCTACTGCAGCGTTTAAACCTTAGCAACTGTGTCTCTATTCAAATACTTGAGTCCAATTTTTCCCTCATTGTGAAAAGGCCTTTACTAGAATTACCATTCAAAGGTATTTCTGGAGGACATCTGCCAGGGAAAGAGTCTTCCAGTATAAGGGGATCACTACCTCAACACCAATCTATGTATTACTTGCTGGTGAAGAGATCTTTTGGATGAATGAAGATCATGCCACAGGCCTGCACAAAGACTTGAAGCAACCAGCACAGGCTAAAGCAGCATTCAGGCACACATCATAAAGGATAAAATGAAGTGCTAATTTTGAAAAGAGGATCTACTTTGATGACACCTGTAGTACTGTATTAGTTTCTCTGTGCAACAACTTTTCTACCTAACTCCAAAACAGTCTTTGGCCAAGTGAAATAGTTTCCAAATTCATGCTAATTTCAATGGCCTGTTGAAAAAAACCACAAAGATAACCAAACTGTCATTCTGAAGGAAAACACTGAAATTCTTACTTTCCAGATAATATATTGCTACCGCATTTAATTTTTTCCATTCCATTTAAAATCTTCTTTAATATTTCAAAAGAGCATGTTACGGTCAATACAACATTTAAAAGAAAACATTTAATGATGGGTCAAAGGATATGTCAGTTCAAATGGAAAATATCAGGTTTTGAAACTGAAATTTTCTGAAAAATTTTACTCATTTTGTTCAGGTCATCCTAAAGTTATTCCTCATCTTCTCACCTTTCTGGGTTGGTCATTTGTACAGCTCAGCTGGATTTCTAAACATTATGAGAGAGTTCATCTTCTATTACTGAACAAAATCCTCTTTAAAAGCTATGGGGAGACCATAACATGAAAAAGTCTTAGGCCATTTTCACTGTAATTCGTACAAATTCAGCTGAACTTTAATGTGAGAGGAGATAAACATAAAAATGGAATAAGGCAACATAAATAAGTCAGAGAGTCGTTTTCTTATCTTCTGCAGAGGGCTTATGTAAGTTTTTCATAGCTGCAACTTTTGCATCATTTTACAAGGGGACTGTATTGCAGGGCACAGGGTACTGTCACTGGCTCTATCTGGTGGGAGAGAGGACAGCTACCCTCCATAACTGTGAAAGGCTTGGATAAGGGGCTTAGAAAGCTACAGAAAGTATCAGACACAGATGTTTAACAGAGCAGTTGCCTTTCCAGCCACTTCATGAAGACAAAGAGGTGAAGGGACCATCACTCTGTAAATGCAAATATCACATTACCCTAGATTTTGATCTCATGAAAGGAAATCCCACGCTGCACTTGAGGAAGTCTGACTCCAGCAACTCACAAGCAATGCCCAGCTCCTCCTGTAAGAAAATAAAAAAGACCATGAGATGATAGATTTAGGGAGAAAAAGAGAATTACTAAGAAATACCATTGTGATGAAGTATTGTAGAAAAACAAAACATTTCCCACCATAGCACTGTTATTCCCAGAAAACTAATACTCATTGAATAAGTTAAGTGTTGCACTTCCTCGCTCCACCTCCGTCAGAGCAGCACTGGGAAGAAGTCAACCATCAGAACATTGTTCTGAGAGGCAGACCACAGGGAAATACTGCAGGACTAAACAAATTAAAGTCAGGGCATCAGCCCAAGTTCTGGGATAACTCAGACCATCAGTTCCCTCTGTTTATTAAAAGACAGCTTTCAAATGGTCCACAATACTGGTTCCCTGAGGTAGTTTTCCCAGTTATCAGTATCATAAAGAAAGAAGTGCGTTGTGCAACAGTGACCAAACCATGGCACGCAGAGATGCTGGCGAAAGGGTTAACCTGGTCCTAGTGTCATTCACTGCCTTGGTACCTTTCTCTGGTCTTCAGGATGAGACACATTTGTACGGATACCAACTTTCTTTAGTGACACAATGGTGGTATAGATCAAGGAGAGACATGAGCCTCTCCTCATGCTGAACATTGACAGACTCTGGCCACTGTCAATCATATAAATGATAAAGGTTAGAGCAGCCCTATCCAGCTTGACTAGTGACTCCATTAGAACAACAGAAATACTTCTCTTGAATGGAGGGTGTTCAGTTGCTCCATAAAATAAGTGTCTGGCTCCAGGTTAGCATGTTCTCATCTCCAGATTATCAGGGAAGAGTTTTTTATTAAATCTATGAATTTTCCCTTTTTTTTTTTTGGTCCTTTCCCTATTTCACTGGGGAGGGGGAAAGAAAGTAAGCGACTGGCTGCATGATGACTGGCTACTGGCTGAGTTCAAACCACGACAGTGTCACTTCTCCCATTGTAGTCAATGGATGTAGAAAATGGTTCAGCAGACCAAATGTAAGACGTTTAGTTTAGACTGAGATGAATACTTCTCCAGGGCCTAATATTGACTACATCATCACTGGAGCTATGGCACTGATGTTATGCAGCTACAATATGAATGCCTAAATTTAGGTATCTGAATCTGGAAATAAACTCTATTCTAGACATGCAGCTAAGAATCTCTTAGCTAAAGGACTTATGATTTATTTGACCTATTTTTGGTATCTATAGCAGTTTGTGAAGTCCAGGCTCTGTCTCCTTATGTACATTTCCCAAATAACTTCAAATATGAGTTTTACTTTAAATATGCATTTAAAATTTATGAGTACCATTCTCAGATGGAACGAGCATATGTGGAAGTAGCTTCCTGAACCATAGATTCCGGCCATAAGCAGCTCCAGGAAATGCCTCTCTGACCCAAGCACTACATTAGTGCTCTACAAATGATACTATTATCCTAATTATGAGTCTGACAGCATTCAGATTCTTGATCTTTTAACTGCTTCCTGTGATATCTGAACGACAAGGTCTCCTTTATCTTCAAAATCATCATTCAAATCAGGGCACACATTTATAGAAAATTATAGACCTAACACAACCTTTCTTATCTGACTCAGTATTTCACTGGTTTCATATGAAAATAATTTAAGCAGAAAATCATTGAAGGCTTGGAGATACCTGATGGCATGATACTACTCCAGCAGTGGCCTCCACATTCAGCTTCTTTATGGATTTGTTTCCTTGCAATCTTCTGTATTTTCAGAAATACAGAAGATGGCACTGCCCAGCAAATCAAATATCTAGCTTCAGTTGTACAAAGCTGCCGTCCTCATATGCTGTGTTAGATTTAACACAAAACAGCAGAGCAAGTGCTTCATGCAAGATGCATCCCCTTCACTTGCCTTTTCCTCTCAGCAATCTGGGAGGTTCTTTAGTTTTATGCCAGTGATCAAGTGAACACAAACTCTGAGCAGCTGCATAACCAAATGAAAAATTTCACAGCTGTTTCCTCTGGGAACATTCTTGGTTCTGTGTTGTTCAAATGTCCCTTACTCTCTAACTGTGGCAACCTATGAACTCTCTTTCATGAACTCCCCGCCTCTGTTCATTCAAGAGGGGTTTCTATTTACATAGCTGTCTGGTAGTGACAGTGACCAGACAGACCCAAGAGGCTCCCTCCTCTCCCCAAGACCATATCCCTTCAGAAATGTCAAAAACCAGGACAACAGAAAGAACTCTCATCTTGATAATGGAAGTAGCGCAGTACTTCATTTTGTATGTTGGCGGCTGCCTGCCTTTGCAGCCCTGACAGCAGGCAGGCACATGCCAGTTGTTGGCCTGTTAAAGAAATGACAGATAACGTTGAACTGGCTGGTTTTGCTGTTGTTGCTTGCAACATCTTAATGGATGCAGTATGATTGACTTGAACAACCTTCTGGCTTCATTAACATACCATCCAGTTTGATGATTAATATTAATATTACTGAAGTTCAGATTAGCCATTAGGAAAAGGTTCTTAAGTGAGAGGGTGGTCGGTCACTGGAAGAGGCTCCCCAGGGAAGTGGTCCTGGCACCAAACCTGTCAGAGTTCAAGGAGTGTCTGGATGATGCTCTTAGTCATATGACTTAGTTTTAAGTAGTCCTGCAGAGAGCAGGGAGTTGGATTTGATGATCCTTATTGGTCCCTTCCAACCTGAGATATTCTAGGATTCCATTAATGCTGCAAAGGCAAATTGTTCAATGCTAGGAAACAGCAGAAATAGGTTTGCCTGTACTATGCCGGTTTGGCTTTCCACACATTTCTAAATTACACAGGCTACCCAGAAAACTTCTGCCCTGGACCCCTTGCCTTGCTCTGTGATTAGGATGGGGAAGCTCAGCTAACAAGTAAATATTTTGTTTTTCCTTCACTGCTCCCCGTCCAGCTTCAGGCTTTATTTGCAGTGCACTGTTTTGGAGAGAGAGAAAATTATTTCTTCATGGGGTTTCCTATGGTGTTCAGCTCTGTAACATGTGAGCACTCTGTAAGCACTACATAAATTCAATTTTCACACTATTCCAGCAGGCTGAAGGGTTGGTGCTGTCTTATCTAACAAATAGGGAACAGAAACAGCTCGACTCACGGCTTACAGAAGTTTTGGATGCCACTTCTTGCTGATGTTAGGTAACACTTTTAGTGTGCAATGTTTTTTTCTATGACAATATAACCCAGCTAAGAAGTCAGCTTATTGCATGAGTTTCCATAGCAGTTTCTAGTTTGCTTAGAAAACATAGCCAAAGAGCTTGGAAGTTTCCCTTCCAAGGAGACAGTGTGAAGCTTTATCTGGAACCCTTTTTCTTTCTGAAACATTTCACAGCCTTTCACATTCTTAGGAGAGTCAATCAGATAAATAGACAGCTAGTTAGCCAAATGAATAGCTGTACTATTACTGCATAACAAATGCAGACCTGGGTATGAGAAACATGAAGCTCAGGCTGGCTCACAGTCTGTTTCTCAAAGTACTTTATCACAGAAAGAAAAGTTCCTGGTAATTATAACATGAGCAACTAAACAATCAAGTTCTAACCCCATTACAAGGGGCACATGGGGAAAAACCAGCGCAACCCAAATTCTGCATCATAATGCTGTCAAACACAATCCCTGTGGTATGTGATCGGGGGTATATGCAGAGATGTTACAAAATGGCCTTACTTCTGGACATAAGTGTTTTGAAGCATCAATATTATGTGTGATTTCAACTAAGTAAGTGCAGGAAGCTGATAATGATCATACTAATATAGTGCTTCAAAGCAGCGACCTGGGAATGTTGCTATTTGCTAAATTTAAGACTTGAGACAGGAGAAATTTCAGCAATGCTTCTGTTGTTCCCCAGTTTTTCCTACCCTTCTGCTGTTTCAGATATTCACCTGGTGCACCACACCGGGGGGCAACTGCTGTCTCCTCCATGGGCATCTTTGGCCAGTACCTGTCTCAGCAGAAGTGGGCAGTGGCTGAACATGGGAGCTCTAAGTTTATCTGACTACAGGTTGACAAAAGTCTCCTCATATTCTGGTCCCTAAAGCACACACTACATGTGCTCAAATCCTCACTGCCCAAACCAACTCAGATACCTGCCAGAGGAAAGTGAGGTGCTCATGGAGTAATTTTTTTTAAAGACAGGTAAACAAGCTAGATCAAGATGAATGCTTAAAACAATGCATTCAGCTTTGTCTAGAAAACATTTCAACACGAGTGAAGCATTTTAACCACATAGATGGGATGCTAGATTACGGCATCATTATTTTATCCTGGAATAACTCACAGGCAGTATCCTTTTGCTGGCTTCACCTAGCTGATTATCTGTGGATATAAAACATCGAACTACTCCAGATTTTGCTATTTTCCTAATACAGAGATCATGACTGGACTGCAAGAGATCCACTCCTTTTTCAGGCCACATTAAGGTAGGTTATCAGTAAGAAAATAACTTGTCAACACGAGAACAGGTCATATAAAATAAGCCTTTCACTGCATGTATTTTGGCATTTTAAAAGCCTGTCTTCGCTTAATAGTACCTTATGGGCTCAATGTTCTCATGGTACAAAAGGTGGGACCGGTGCCAGCTGGAGAGCAAGACCAGATTACTTTAGGTATGATCCTGCAAAAGGCCCCTTATTAGAACCAAATCCTGCTCAAAGACAGCTGCCATTTGTCCCCCCTCCTCCTGAAATATCTTTAGAAGATTTCTCAAATATTGTTTACTTTGACCTTAAAGGGTCCTTTTCAATTTGGTTAACCGCCAACTCTAAGACTTAGGAAAGAAAACCAGAATGCCTTAAGAGAACAGTAAGAGAGAACTGCTGGTGGAAGCAAGGTTGCTTGGCCCTGGATAAACCACAGCCACAGGTCAGAGACTCTGCTTCTGGGAAGAGTCCATTATTGTCATACCAACACACCATGTTGCTCCTAATTGAGCTCCTTCTTTCTAAATGCACATGACCAAAACCAGCCACCATACATGAAATGGCACAGCCCAAAGGATATTGAAACTTCCT